GGTTCACACCCCCCCCCCCCCCTCTCCTATTCTCTCACCGTATCTATCATTTCCTTCATGGTGGTCTGGTCCGCACGGTCTCAGAGATGGGCTGCAGCCCGAACAGCACCATCGTCTACTTGCGAGCAATGCTGAAATCCGAGTAGGGCAAGACAGCGGCAGCCTGGCCTCACTCCACCCGACCTCGAGTGGGGGAGCTGCTTCCCTGCGGCTCCAGATCGTTTTTTGGGGAATGAGCGGGTGCCCTGCCCTGCCCGCCCTTGCCGCCGCTGTTGGTCTGGTAGGTGGCGCCACGCGGGCCGATGCGGGGGATCTGCGCACAGAGGCCGGCCAGCAGGAGGGCGCGTAGACTCAGGTGAAAGAGTGAGCTCAGGGGCTCGATGCCGAAGGCGTTCTCGCCACCTTGACGTCAGGACCCTGGCACAACAAGCCTGAAGGGACGACAGTATCAAATACGGACAGACACATCACCTCTTTGGGTCGGCTGGTTGGTCTGTGTGTGGCTGGCTTACCGAGGAAGTGTCCAAGTAGGTCTGAGACAGGGGCCTGCTCGATGGACACAGTCTGGCCGTACCACGCCCCACTCTGGCCGTACCACGCCCCATCAGCATGACCCGCCCGCTCCTCGTCAATCGACGCCGACCGAGCCCAGTGGCCGACCGTCTCGCCCCGCTCCAGCGCCGAAGACACCCCTCGACCCATGCAGACGAGGTCGACACTCCTCATTAGCCGATCACTCTGTGGAGAGTCGACAACGAGGGCTTCTTGGAGAGCGTCTGCCGTTGTCGGTGGGCGAGGCGTCTCCTTGCGCGTTGGGTGGCTGGGTGGGAGAGGGCATCTCGGGGGACTTGGGAGGGGCGGGGGAAGGGGGGCCTGCTCGCAGCCGATGCCGACCGCAGGTAGCCGCTCGAGATGGTGAGTGCCGCCCCTCTGAGGGTCTCCTGTCCGCAACGACAGGCACACCTCGTTAAGCACCTTGGCGAAGGGCTCGTTGAAGCTCGACTGCAGGGAGGACGCAGGCGAGGCCCCGCCACCCTCGCCCCGGTTGACCTTGCTCAGAACCCGATACACACGACAACACTGATTGAGTGACAGATCAAACAGACACAGGCCACAAGAGCAAGCACCCACAGGTTGGTGTGTATGGCAGGTAGGAGTGCACTTGTCTGTCTCTCTCTGTCTGTTTGTGTGTGGTGTCCGTACCGTCTAGTCATTCCTGATGGGCTGCTGCTGGGGGGTCGCGCCTAACAACACGCCCCCGCCAGCAACAGCCCATCAGTGGGCTGTGGTGGGGCAGCAGCAGCCGAAGGGGTCGCGGAGGATCTCGAAGAACTTCCAGCAACCCCAGCTGCCGCTGCAGCAGCCCGTCCCGCCGATGGCGGCCTCCTCTCCCTCGATGACGCCGTCCTCCTGTGTGGTGCCGGCGTCGGTGCGGCTGGTGGTGGCCTTGGTGTGGGAGGCCGGCTCGGGGTGGGAGGTTGGCAGAGCGCCGCTGCGTGTCGGTGGCGTCGTGCGGATGGTGGGCAGGGCGCCTTCCTGAGGGACCATGGTGCTGGCGAGGTTGAATTGGATCTCCTCCTCGTCCTTCTTCATGCGGCGCTTCTCCTTCTGCAATAAAGCAAGGCACCACATAAACAGGAGAGGAGTGAGCGGCGCTCTCGACTGTTGTGCACACGACATGAGAAGTTCTCTCAGCGCATGCATGCCTCTATGCGGCTTTGGCAGAGGCGGCAGATCTCCTGGCGCTCCCGCAGACACGTGAGCGGCTTGACGAGGCACGGGATGTCCTCAGGCTGCCGCGGTGTGTCGGGGGTGTCCTTGTGGTTCAGGAGGAGGTCCCGGGCCTTCTGCAGCTGCTGTGCCTGCTGGTCGCTGCCGCCCTTGTCGGGATGCGCCCCCGCTGCCGACACAAAACGGAGGGCCGCCCTGATGGACGCCTTGCCGGCGCCTTTCCTCAGACACAGGAGCGTCTCAGCCTCCCCCTTCGACAAAAATCTCCTCCACAAGGCGCGCATGGTGGACTGTGTGTTCCACATGGTCACTCGCTCTCTTTTTCTCCTTCGGTGCTTTTCTCACTGCGAGCTTGGCAGCAAACGATCGGTGCAGAAGAGCGCGGATGTGCCGCCTTAGCTTCTCAAGTCCCTCCCCAGCACTATGTTATCAGCTTCGGCGACAAGTTGGATCGAGGAGTGTCCTCAGTATCACCAGCAGACAATCCCGTCGTCTCCGCCACCGCCCTTCAGTTATCAGCCCGACCCAGCGGCTGCCAAGCACTTGGACCACTATGGCATGGCAGATGCTGCCTCTTTCGGCAGCGAACCTTCATCGCAGTGGCCGCCCAGGATCCAGCCGTTCGAGTGGGAAGGAGGCGGCGAGGCGAGAGGCATGGCCAACTATGACGGCGGCTTCCACGGCGCCACAGAGGGCAGGGCGGAGTTGAGGCGGCTGCTGGCGCCGCTCAACAAATCGCAGTTGATCGAGCTGCTTGTCCGGCTGGCTCAGTCGGTGCCAGAGGCCAGGTCAAGGATCATTGAGGTCGCATCGCAGGTAAAAACAAACAAACAAACAAACAAACGACAGGAACGGCACAGAAAGAGGGCGGCCGCAACCACGGGCGGGTCTGTTCGGTGTGTGTGTGTGCTCTGCAGAGCCGTGCTCATCGTCGGCTTTATGTCAAGGTGCGTCGCTTTCCTCGCCTCTCTCCCTCCTGTCTTCTGCAGAGTGTGTGTGCGTGTGTGTGTGTGTGTGCGTGTGTGCAGAACTTGGCCTACGCGACTGACGACAGCCAGCTGCGGCACTTCTTCTCGTCGTTCGGGGAGACTGAAGAAGCAGGTGGGTGGGACGGGGTGGGATGGCTGCACTGTACAGAACTGAGCATCCACACCTCAACATGGGATCTGTGAATGGGTGCAGTTGTCGTGCGTGACGGCTACGGACGCAGCAGAGGGTACACACAGCACAGCAGGCACACGGCGAGAAAGATAAAGACGCCCGCAGAGATGCATTCTGGCTGTGTGCCTGTCTCTGCTCTCCTCTTAGCTATGGCTTTGTGACCTTCCTCACCCGGGAGGCCGCCGTTGCGGCCATCCAGTCGAACCTTTCTCTCGACGGGAGACGCATCATCGTATGCTCACCCCAACCACAACAACACCCAAACCACCTCGGCGGCGCCTCGCATTGTGGCCTGCCTGTTTCTTGTCCTTCCTCTCTCTCTCAGGTTGGGCTGGCGTCCGACCCCACAAATCGCACATCCCTCAACCCGTTTGCCGACTTCACAAGCCCAGGTGGGCTTTTGATGGACTGACTGACGGAAACTGGCTCGTTTGCCTCATCCATATGCTTTTTGCTTCCACTTCAGGCCCGGTTGACGTTAGTGCCTGTCCGGGAGGGGGGACCAACGACCTGGCGAGCAGGAAGCTCTTCATCAGGCAAGCTTTGCTTTGCTCGAGCACAGCTCTCGAGCGAGAGTCGTGTAGCGCTCATTTCGTTCCTTTCCTGCCCATCCCATCCATCCATCCGCAGGAATCTCAACCAGCGCACGTCGTGCGACGCCGTGCGGCGTGTGTTCGAGCAGGAAGGCGAGGTCGATGATGTGACGGTCCTCCATGACCGATACGGACGGAGCAAGGGATTCGGTACGATCCAGTTGATCAGCTCACACAAAGGCGTGTGACCATCCGTCCATCCCTCCATGGTATGTGTACAGGTTTTGTGACATACCGCGACACCGACAGCGCCCAGCAGGTGCTGCTCGAACCGCAGCGCATCGTCGACGGCCAAATCGTGTTCGTCCACCTCGCCAGCGAGCGGTCAGCAGTGACCGCTCTGCCGTCCTCTCCACCCCTGCAGCCACACGGCCAGCACTCCCACGGTTCCTTCCGACCGCCCCACATCTCCCGGCCCCCCCATCATGACCCTTCTGCTGCTGCTGGCGCCGCTGGTATGGCCCCATCCAACGCTTTGTTCCCAGGGCCACGCCCTCACTACACGCGGCCGGGGAAGAGGCCGCAGCAGCATGACCAGGGTGGTGGTGGTGGTGGGGTGATGTCACCTGACGAGTATCGCCCTCACCATCGGCAGGCGGCGTTTGATCAGCCGAAGGGTCAGCATCTTCAGGACTTGTCTGCCTCTTCACGGGGGCGGGTCGAGGGCACTACTAGCGGCCACTTGGAGGGCTTTTGCGATGGGGTGTCCTATGAAAAGCGCACATCGCACGCGCGACACGTCATCAACGTCATGACCCCGCCTTCGTCCATCCATCCCACCGCAGCCCCAGCCCCGGCCCCTTCATCCTCTTCCCCGCTGCTGCAGAGAGAAGGGGCAGACGTGCCCATTCGCTCAGGAGAGGACCCCTACCTGAACCAATGGAGGGACCTGCCTTACGTGCAGCAACCGCAACAAGAGCAGCACCGTCAGCAGCAGCAGCAGCAGCAGCAGCCGCCCTACGGCCCCCCACCCCCTTATGGGGCAGAGGAGATGTCGACGGCGAGCGAGTATGCGACAGCGAGGACGCAGGAGCACCGGAGCGAGTATGTGGATCCGTTCGACGACCCATTGACCGACCCCATCCTCGCACTCACTAACGAATCCTTCTTCAAGTTCGAATGACTGACTGACTGACTGACGAAGATGCGAACGAGCGGCTTAGCGAAGGAGACGTGGCAATTGAGGCTGGCTGGCTGGCTGGCTGAGTGTAGGATTAGAGGCAGCCAGCCCGCCCGCCAGCCAGGCGTGATTCTCTGTGATTCATGTGTCGACCTGGGTGGCTAATTGGGGAGGGAGGGAGGGAGGGAGGGAGGGAGGGAAGGGCTTCATACAGTACGCGAATTCGCGTGGAGAGAGAGAGGGAGAGAGAGAGAGATAGCGCGGAGAGGGCAGAGAGGGGGGCGGAGAGGGGGTGGGTTTCGTGATGTCAGAGTGATGACGTTGAGGCATGACAGTCTTAAGAGAGAGATTCTCGTGGATGTGACTTGACCTGCATGTCTGGATGGAAGGATGGAAGGATGGATGGATGTGTGGCTGCTCTTGTGTGTGGTCTTGTCGTGTAGTCTAGGATTTGTGCTGCCGACAATGGATGGATGGATGCATGGAATGGACAGCAGAAATTAACACCAACCAATTCATACCGATCCATTTCTCTCTGTCCCTTGCACACACACGCGCGCACATCTCTCTCTCTCTGCAACCAACCTCACTGTGTACGGGGCGTCCCCGTCGTTCTCGTTATCATGAAAATCTGCCCCACGTAGGTATGCTACACTACGCAACCACATGCAGTGGAGAAAAACGCACAACGCACAGGAGCCCACAAGCGCAGTGGCCACCAAAAATCAGGCAAGCAGGTCCGACAGATCGTCCCTCTCCCCCGGCTGCCGCCTCCTCTGCTGCATCTGCTGCATCTGGGTGTACTGCTGCTGCTGCTGCTGCTGTTGTTGTTGCTGGTAGCCGTACTGGTTGGGGTAGGCGCCCTGCTGGCGGCCGGCGCCAGCACTGGCGGCCGGGAAGCCCTGGATTCCCTGCATGGGCAGACCCTGAATGCCCTGCTGCACTGAGCCATAGCCGCCTTGACCGCCACCCATCACACTGTATCCCTGCACACATACACACACACACACACACACAGAGCGACTCAGTAGGATGCCGTGCGTGTCGGTTCCAAGTCTTTCTCTCTCTCACTCTAAATCACTCATATACCTACCGGTATGCCCTGTTGCAAACCAGCGGCTTGCTGCTGCCCCCCAGCAGTGGCCATCACATTGCCGGCCCTGCCCGCCACGCCATACCCCCCACCCACCCCCTGCTGACCACCATAGCCCTGTGGCTGAGAAGCCGATACAGACCCACCAAACGGATTCACAGCGCCACTACCACCACCCATCTGCTGCTGCTGCGGGCGCATCTGCTGCTGCTGCTGGTGGTAGGCGCTGGTGGCCTGCTGTGGGTAGTTGGGGTATGACGGCTGCTGCTGGTGCTGCTGCAGAGACTGTGTGGGGCGCCCGGGCTGTGGCTGTGTTTGAGAGGGGTATGTGGATGACGCTGCTGCTGCTGTGGCGTATGTCGCCTGCATGGGCGGGGTGGTGCCCTGGGTGTGGGTGGGCCGCATCGCCTGGGGGTGCGAGGGATACTGCTGCTGCTGCTGGTGGTGCATCGCCGCTGGGCGCTGAGGAGCAGCCCCAGGCTGCAAGAACCACACGGCAGCGAAAGACACACACGTGGAGGCATTCGCACCTCTCTCCTCGTCTGCATTGTGTCCTCACCATCATTCGCCCCTGTGGGTGCTGTCCAGCAGCAGGTGCCTGCCGCTGCTGCTGCTGATGTTGTTGTTGTTGCGTCTGCCTGGCCCTGCCCTGCTGCGGCCGCTGCCGTTCGTCGTCCTCTGACTCGCTCTCCTCCTCTTCCTCATCCTCGTCTTCATCCTCCTCCTCCTCGTCCTCATCAGACTCGTCCCTAGACACACACAGACGACCGGTCGTCATGGTATTGTCCGCTCCGCTGTTTTGGTGAGTGTTGGTGGGTGTTGGGGGGATGCCCACCGACCTGCGGTGGTCGACGACTCTGCCGCTCTTGACGGCACTGGTGCCCGACGCAGGAGGGGCCGAGCGACCACCTGCAGCTGGTGGGCGGAGGGGCGGGGCGCCACGCAGCTGGTCTTGGTACTGACGAAGCGCCTGCAGCAACCAGACAGACCCACAGGCACCTGATGGCCTCCTTGGTTCCTTTTGTTGGTTGCTGACACTGACCGCCTGTACGATATCGTTGACTTCGATGCACTCGTTGAGGGCATCGCCGGACGACTCGCGCTCGATCTCACTGCACATATAATCGAGAAGGGAAAGGGCAATGACATCCGACAAGCCATCGTGTGTGTGTCTGTGCGTACGTCTGCAGCGTATGGGCGGCTTGCTTGAGAGTTATGAGCAGGGTCTGCAGGGCCTGAAACACACACACACGCAGCAAGAGGTGCAGCCAAATGGCTATGTCACCTCTGGCGGCCTGTGTGTGTATGTCATTATGGCCTACATCGTTTCTGGCCAGGTTGTCGTTCTGCTTGCAGCTGCTAAGCATCTCCTGCGACATAGGTGACGTCATCACATACACAAGCAACCACACCATACGCCTTTCTCCTCTCGATCGCCTCCCTACCAGCCATGTGCTTACATTGAAGAGGATGGTGGCTTCTCTGAAGGTCGCCAGCTGACCCTTCAGGTCACGGTCAACCTAGATTGAGTGACGCACATCGACAAAAGCATCTGGGTGCGCGAGGTGGAGACGGTGTCGTGGTCCTCGTCTCACCCCTCGTTTGTATGCCGTTGCGTCGGTCTCGGCGGGCATCCGTGGGCCGCCAGGCATGTGGAAACCTAACACACAGCCACGAGAGGTGCCTTGGTGGGTCGGACGCGCTGCTTTCTCTTCGCAAATGCACCTTTGTCCTGCAGGTGCTTGAAGACGTGCTGGAAGCCCGGCAGCAGGTCGGCCTCGCTCGCAAACTCGTTGGCCCACGATGACACCATACGGAGTATCTGCAGGGACATATCAATACAGCAGAGCAGTGGAAAAGACACCAGGCGTCTGTGGGTGGCCGCAATCTCTCGTGCCGACCTTGTCTCGGACTCTGCTGTCGAGATTGGGCCGCTGGAGGACGCGAACTGAGCGATGATGACACGCAAGCACTTTCCTTTGTGGTTCTTTTCGGTGTGTCGGTCGGTGCATTCATACCAAGTGCGCCGAGGAAGTCCTTCTCCGCCACCTTTTGGTGGAAGGGCAGTGTGCACTCCCTCATGGCCTGCTCAAGCGTCTGCAGACCCAACAGCTGGATCTTCGCATTCTGGGCCTGCAGATAGACAGACGAACGCGGACAGGCAACACACCAATCGAAGCGACACAAACGGACACATCAGGAACAGCTGTGTCTGTGCTTGAGACTCATTGCTCGCTTCTCTTTCCCTCACCGTCACTTTCTTTCTGAGGTGCTGCACGGCAATCTGCACACATCGTTTCGGGGGGGGAGGGGGGAGAGGCCACGAGGGAGGTGGAACGAGATGAATGAGTCACACACCATCGTTCCTCACTGTGTGTGTGTGTACCTTTGGTCCATTGGGTACGTCCTTGATTAAGTCACAGACGTCCCTCTGCAGGTTGGTGGCCTCGCGGCCGCCTATCTCCAGGCTCACGTCAGTCACCTCCTCGATGGCGTCAACCTGATGAAACAAACACAAACAAGCACGGAGTGACCGTCCATCATTTATGTGCTTTCTGCATACCAACTGCTTCTCTGTCATCGTGATCCGGGGAAAAAAGGCTTTGCCGTGCGAGCTTGTCAGAAATTCCACAGGGTTTCATACCCTGCAACCCCAGATGGAGACGGCCCTCACGCTGCTGGCAAAAATTGCCTCCTGGTGCTGCACGACCCGCACACGCGTACGACGGCGCCAACTACAGAACGATTGATCAATTCTTCGACACTTGTGCACACGTCATGCAGTGTCACAGTGTCGTTTCATCATTCCGAAGCATGGGCGTCACACAGATTATTGAGGCACGTCGGCAATTGTATGTTTGTCATTCAAAGGCCGTGCAATCGGTCGCTGCGCCACGCCGCCTATTTGAGCTTCGCCTTGATGTATGCCTCCAGTTCCGTCAGCCGCTTCTCGATCTGTGAATGCCGGGCGGCGTGTCGTCTGTCCATGGATTCCAATGCTGCATGAATTACATTCAAGATTGCTCAGTCTTTCTGTGAGTGCCTGCCTGCGTGTCTGACCTGCCATGACGTCCGGCACGCTCGAGTCGTGTTGATCCGCCGCCTCGATCCACTTGTCGATGCTGTCTCTGAGGAATATCCGCGCTTTACGCCTCTTATCAGCCATCTCCGAATTGTCACTTTCAGTGGCCTCAAAAGAAAAGAACGACAACCCCTACCCGACCATTCCGGAGAGATGAGACAAGGCCACTGTTTGTCTCATATCATGTGACTTGTAGCCTTACTCTCCGGGCGTATTGGTACAGAAGAAGAACGGGCATTAGGAGAATGACAAGTGCAACAGAAAGTGCCGCCAAGTAGCCCTGCCGTATGGCTCGTGGGAACGCCTCCAGTGCTTTGTAGATGAATGCGGGTGTGAAGGCGACGGCGCACAGGAGCGCATCGATGGTAAAGTAGAGGACCTTCATCAAACAGAAGGCAATGCGGCAGAGTGCCGACTGCTGTCCGCTTATGAGGGAGGCGAGGTATCGCAGGGGCTCCGACACGACCACAGCTGCACACACACAGATCATGGTCACATGTGATGGATGCACTTTAAGTCTCATGTCTCGTGCCTGACCGATGAGGTTGAAGGGTGGCGGGAGGCGCTCATGGTGTGGCATTGTCAGGTACTCATTCAACACGGGGACGCGCAGCAGCCTGCAGAGAAAGGGGAGAGAGGGCCCTTATGTGCCGCTGTCTGTCTGTCTGTCTGTCTGTCTGTCTCCCTTGCTGTCTACTGACTGGTATTGTGCGGTTTGCTTTTCCTCGATGGCCGCAAACGTCGACGCCTGACGTACACATCATTGGGCCCTGCATTATACACTCTCAGGTGTATCTCACCATGATGGCGATGAGGAGGTTGAGCTCTTTATGATGACAGAGAGAGACAAGGACAACAAGGGGAGTCAATCATGGTACATCGTGTGTTGCTGAGTGCCTGAGTGCTGCCGACTTACGAGTATGATGGACGAGAGGATGACGTATGTGAACAGCAGGACGGCCCCCAGTGTGTCGTGGCTCTCTATGGCGTTGTTCAATGGGTCGCTGAAGTCGCCAAGACCCGCGTAGAAACTAATGGACAAAGAATCATATCAGAACGTTACCGCACCTTCTAATATATCACGGCTGGCGGCTCTCTCTGTGTTGGTGTCATCGAGTACAGTGTGAGTGTGGCTTTGGCTAAGGAGCCGAAGTACTGGTGGTCTTCGTCGGACGAGAGGAGGGTGAAGACGACCGCGAAGACCAGCAAGATGTAGACGTACAGACACAGAAACATGCTGATGTCCGATAACATCCTCACAATGGCACTGACAGATGGAGACATGAGACACGGCATCAGACATCTCTCTCTGTGTGGTTCTCCCTCTCACTGACAGTATGAGTGGTCCCACGGCTGGCTGCAGGCTGGCAGTTTGGACGAGACGCAGGGCAAAGAGCAGCGCTATGACGATCCCTGAGCTCACTTCCGCCTCGGCAGAGTAGCGCATGAAGTGGATGGCAATGAAGGCAGCGATGGAGACGCCGCTTGCGAAGTCGACGTAATTCCTTAATGGTGAGCCCAGACACACCGATAGCATAGAGATGAAACCAAGCCATCGGTTGGCTGTACGCTTCTGACGCCCACCATGAGTCGGCCCAGTATGCTGCCTTCAGTCGTACGCCCTACGGACACGCAGAGGACGATGCGTGATGAGTGTTAGCCTTGACGAGTCATGTCTCATCGTCTGGCTTACTTGGAAGATCTCTTGAACGATGAATCCGGTGCCCGTCAGCAGTGCCCCCCACAGCCACACTGACGGCCACACCCCCGCCATCATCATGCCGCTGTCTCCCTTGATAGACTCGATGTGCAGCAGCACAAGGGCCACCCTGCAACACATACACAACAGGTGCCATGTGTGTCTCTGTTTCCATCGTGGTGCAAGGCCACCTCTTACATTAGGAGCATCGACAGCACGCGGCTGATGAAGACTTCACGGGACGACAGCTGCAGGGAGGCCTTTATTGGTGGTTTCCAATGCTCTGTGACGAAAGAGATGCAGTTGGCTGTCGCAAGATGGGCAGCAGACGAATAAGGAGAAACGAGGGGACAGACCGACAGGCAGGGGACTCTCCTGTGGGTTACCTTGAGTGACGACTGTCAGGGGCTCCGCCGATTCCAGTAGCGCAAACCATTGTCTTTCCTTGCCTGCGAGTGACAATCACAACTCATCTTCGCTGGTATCGCTGCAGAAGTTGGCTGTGAGAGCCTAAACCAATCCGTCATTGCAGGACGTAAAGACGCTGCGTGTGTTCCTTCCTGATTACTTCCTGCCAGTCCGCAATGGTCCCGAGGTCACTGCAGGTACTCACACAGACATGCAGACGTTCGCATTGTGTTGCTCTCGTTCTCTTCAGTCATACTCTGTGAGGGAGTCCCGCTGTCGTCTCTGCATCAGTTTGCGGAAGAAGGCACAGCAGCGAAGGCTATCGAGGCCAACCGACTCAGAGCGGTCCTTCAGGAACCCCTTCGTGAAGGGCACCACGTCCTTAAAGCCCTGAGCATCAACACCTTCCATTATCGCGCCTCGCTCGAGCAGCATCATGGCCACGTCGTCAGCCATGACAACCATCGCTACGACGACTGACGGTTTCATGCCAAGGGCAAAATCCAGAGGCGCAAATCCATTCTGTCAGAATCATGAGCAGGGACAATATCGACACGCAGGTCGATGAATGCAGTGCAGCCTACATTTTCTTTGATCTTCAGGAGCTGTGGGTCCACCCTCAACATCCACTCCACCACATCGACACGGCCCTTTGCTGCAGGAGAGCGCCAAGAGACATGTTGAAGACTTATGTACTTGTGGTTGCCATTTACAGGAGGGACTGACTTGCTGCAAAATGAAGAGGCGTCTCGCCATCCTTCTACATCCACAGCATAAAGAAGAGACATTGTTCAATGTACCAGTCGAGATTTATTCCGCCGCCAGTCGGCGGCGGGCCCCCCTGTTGCGCATGCAACGAGAAAGGGACGTCTGCGCTGTCCACATGCAGCCGACGATGTGACTGCCGGAATTACAAGCGCCTCTGCACTAACTGTGTCTCGCCCTCGCGCGTGCGACTAGCTTCTGTCTGCGTGGGGGAGGGAGGGGAGGGTTTGCGGGACTGGGGTGTCTTGATGGAGCGGGGATTGATCCCTCCTCCCCTTGAGCCTGTTTGAGTCTGCGTGCTGATGGGACTGTATTTGTATGAGTATCACGGACACACAGACGAGTGTTACGGTTAATGACAGTTTCCCCCCCCCACCAGTCGAGATTCCCTCGTCCTTACGTCGTCCGTTGTTTCCAGCAGTTCCTTTCCGCCCCACTCGACAAACTTCTCCACAACACCAACTGACCCTTCTCCTGCTGCCCAATGAAGAGGCGTCCCGCCACCCTACAGACACAGCATGAAGATTGCAGTGAAGACACCGGTCAGCTGGTGGGCAGAATGAGTGTAGCTGTCGAGCACGATACCTCATCTTTCAGGTTGAGCAGGTGGCGTCGGTTGTCCAGCAGCACCTCAAACACCGCCACATCCTTACACTCCTCTGAGAAGCACACACAGGGGCCGCGTAGGTGCATCACCGTGTGTGTGCGAAGAGGCGTACATACGGCGTAATTGATGAATGGTAATGGCCAGGCCTGTTGATCAGTTGTCTGCAAACCCAGATCCCATCCAGTCGTCAGCGCTTTCTCGGTTTGCTCAGGCGACAGACCGCCGAGGACTTTCCGCAGGCCCTCCACATCTGAGTCATCGATGGACTCTTTGATGCTGCCTCTCAGTGCGTCTGTCGGTTCCCAATCGTCGGCGGCCGGGGCACCCACCACGGGGACCTGCAGACGACACACAGACGTCCGAGAGGCCTCAGAGTCGAGTGACACCAACACACCTGCTCGAAGCGTCTCGGTGCCTTGGTGATGTCATCGGTGACGTCGGGCAGCTGGGGCTCCATCAGCCCTTGGCCATCGTCCAGCAGCAGAGGAATGTGCTCACTCGAGGCCGACGCCATCTGCAGTGGACAGACGCACACAGACACCACTCGTCAGAGGCAGCCGATGGTCACTGTGCCACAAGGGCATTGCAGGGTGACCTTGGGATGGTCTGTCTGGGTGTGGTGGATGGCCTGCTGTTCGGCAGCGTCGCCCTCGTCGACTCTCGGCAGCTGGATGTAGCACGCCTCGTCAACACCACTGGGGCGGCTGTGGCCGTCTCTCACACTGTTGCCCTCCTGGCCCTGCACACGGGGGCTGCGCTGCGTGCGCAACAAACCCCACATCTCTCCTACATGGGCTGTCCTGGCGCGAGACGCCCAGCCCCCGGCCCAATTGGCGCCCCCAGCTGCATGTGCGAGCTTGTCAGAAATTCCTCAGGGTTTCGTACCCTGCAACCCTCCCGCGCCGATCCCCCGCGCCGAGCGAAATGAGGCAGGAGGACAGTCAGTGGGAGCAGTGGAAGAAAGACGCCGAGAAAGGGGAGCTCAAGTGCTCCATCTGTGGAATCTTTATCAAACCGGAAGCGAGTGGATGGGCGTTCGGCAACAGCGCAGATCCCGTCAACAACGGACGGTGCTGCAAGGGCTGCAACGACCGCATCGTCATCCCCCGACGAATCCTCGACATGATGCAAGAGCAGGCGAAGAAGGAGGCCGAGGCAGGCTCTTCTGACACACAGCAGCGCAACTAGCGGCCTCCACCTGACTCATCATGATTCATCCCATCCTGTTCTTTGCCCTCCGGCCTTTGTTACTTCATCACATCCCATCGCAGCGAGCTGTCCTTCCGTCGAGTAGTAGTGGCTTTGCAACACTTGCTGCAGCCAGAGCGGTCCGAAGGGACGAGCCTGAGAGCGTCGTCGCATACCCATCGCCCACCGATTCTGAGCGGCAGATCCTCGAGCAGTGCCTCGGCCTGTCGAGGGAGAAGGTGTTGCGGCTGCAGCACTTCGTCGACATCGTGTGTGGGTGGAACGACAAGATCAACCTCATCAGCCGCAAGGACGTGCAGAATGTGTGGGGCAACCACATGCTGCCCTCACTCGCGCTGCACCCACTGCTCAAGGCGGCACAGAAGAGGAGAGGTGGAGAGGGAGGGGGAGATGGGCAGGGGCTGCGTGTGATGGATGTGGGCACTGGCGGGGGGTTCCCCGGCATGCCGCTCGCTATATGCAACCCTGATGTGGACTTCACCCTCGTGGATAGCATTCGGAAGAAGGTGAGATGATCGATCACAGAGGAAAGGGGGCACCGCAATGGAGCATTTCTGTGTTCTTTGGCTGTGTCATGGCCATGCAGGTGATGGTGGTCGACGATGCAGTCAAGCGACTGAACCTCAGAAACGTCGAGGTAACAAATACGCCAAGAGGCGACCACTGTGTGTCCTTGATTGCAACATTGCATGCTGCAGCCCGTGTGCATGCGCGTCGAGGAGCTGCGGGGCCTATGTGACTTCGTCGTGGCCAGGTCCGTCACCAACATGCCCCAATTCATCCAGTGGGTCGCCAAGAACCTCCGCGCAGGACCGCTATCGGCCGCCGACAGCGACATCAGCCATGTGTTGGGTGAGGGGGGTGTACTCTATATCGGCCCCTCAGGCCTGGATGAGCTGCGTGCGATGGGCGTGGAGCCGGCAGGCGTGTTTCCTGTGCAGGAGGTGCTGACCACGGGGAATACGCCCGAGTATGAGAGTGACAAGGAGATCTACTACTTCCGGACGAGCGATATCTTGTCGGCTGTTGGGGCGCGGCCTCCCAGTAGGGAGACGGCAAGACGGAGGAGAGGAAGGCGGACGTAGACAGCAGATGGGTGGCTGAGGCTTTCTGTCTCAAACTCAGTCTCAGTGTGTTGTGTCGTTGATAAGGTGTTGTGTGTGTGTGTCTGTGTCTATGCTCGACAGTGTGATGCTTTTTTCCCGTTTAATTGTGTACAGCTGACTACTGACTCTCAGTGCAATTCATCGGTGTGAGAGTGAAATCCGAAACATTCACGCGCAACGGCCAATTTCCACACTGCATGTGCTGCGATACACATTATACACAAAACACACACACATCTACAAATGCCCCACCAAGCGAGGAAAGGAGGGGAGGGAGGCAGGAAGAGGGCAGTTGGGAAATGACGGCAACAGAAGAGCAGCAAGACAACAAGGGCCCCGAAAAGACACACCAAGCATCAAGCCATAAACACATAGACACAACAAGCGCCTGCGGGCGTCATCTTATGGTGGTTGGGCATTCGCACGCGCACTCCTGTGGCCTGATGCACATGGAGCTATCAGACTTAGTGGCGAACTCGTCATAATTCACCGCATTAACATCCATACAACCTGATCGGACGATACATACAGGCAGGCAGGCAGGCAGCCGGAGGTGAGGGAGAGAGACAGAGCGAGTGTGGGTGTTCATCACCTATTCGAAAAACACAGTAGTCGTCGTTTTGCAGCGTAGCGGTTCGGTCGTAGTTTTCGGCCTGCTGGTCCATGCAGCCCACACGACTCCTCAGCTTACGGTCCTTCATACATATACTCTGTCGACACACACACACACACATGTCTCTCTCTCTCTCTCTCTAGTGCTGTGTCTCTCCGTATGTTCGGCAGACACGCACCCACCTGTATGGCCCACTGCTGTGCGAGGTTGGTCTTATGTGTGAGTGCACTGTCGACGGCGGCCTGCAGTGCCGGTCCCTCCCTTAACCTCTCCCTATATAGCGCCGTCAGCTCGTCGCAACGCATCATGACACCATCACCACCGAGGCTCAGGCCCCTCTCATACATAGCAGCGCCGCCTGGCGGTGGGGGGGCGGACTGCGAGGGAATACACCTCTGCACCACCTGAGAATCGACACACACAGGGAGAAAGAGGGAGAAACATGCTAAACCCTAATTGTCTTACTGTGTGTGGATTTGCGTGTCTTACTGTGAGTTCGATGACTTCCTCTGGTGATGCTGCTGATGCTCCTGGGTCCTGGCGGTCGTCGGCCCTCTCCTCAATAAACGACGCCCTAGCTGCTGGCGGCGGCACCTTGCGGCACTCGCCAGCTGTGTGGCACGACAAACGCAGAAATGGTACGTAGCGTTTGGTGAGTACGGATGCATGAGTGTATGTACCTTCGAGCACCACATTTTCGACTCTTCTTCCCGGCAGCATCTTCATTATCTCGGCCTTGAGGGACTTCTCTAACCGCAGAAGCTACATTCACACACAACAAACACACAAAATGGGTGTCAGATCCACTTGTCTGTGAACATGGGCGTCATGCCTACTCTTCTGGACACGACGAAGCAGGTGTCATAGTTGCCTCCGATGAACCACTGCACCTCCAGTGCACACACCTCCTCCCCAAAGCAGCTCGACACCTCCTGGTCGTCGTTGCAGTTGATGCCCAGAGAGTCGATCGTCGGTGCAGACGCATACCCATACGCAGACAACTCCACTTCAGACACATCAGCACCCCGCCTCCTGGCGCCTTTCCTCCGCGTCACGGCGGCCTGAGTCGATAGGCATGCATCGTTTTGCCGGTTCCTTGTCCACTCCCTCTTTCTTTCTGTGTACCATGTGTGAGTAGGACTGTGCGGCCTCCCTCTGGATGAAGGCGGCTGCGTATGCGTGTGGTGCACCCGCTGCCTTGTGGTGCTCGGTGATGCCCTTTCTGCAGGTGCAGGGGTAGACCTCCATGTGTGCCTCGTTGGCGGCCAGCGGCCCGTTGCAGGACAGCAGCTCGATGTCGGCGGGGTGGGAGGGGTTGTACTCGGGATCGCTGCTGTCCATGCAGCCAACAACCAATACTGCGCATACACACAGAGAAACACCAAAGAATGCGCGATGGGAGGCCGTGTGGTGCTTTCGCACGCACTTCTGGTTTTGATTTTAGGTTCGTTCATGAGTTCTGCTGTGAGGTCGGGGAGGTTGACGTGGCCGTCGGTCTTGACGAGCTGTGTGACCCTGTCGGGCGACTCGGCCAGCTCGAGGGCCTTGACCTTCAAATCCTCCATCTAACACGTCAGCACGACACACCACTCAGTGTGCGTATGTGGTGGGAGGGTATCTTTCTGTGTCTCTCTCACCTTGTCGATGTCGGGCTCGAATGTGAACGTGATGTACAGCTGGTTAATCGATTAAAGAGGGCGACAGGAAATGGGTGCGTGCCAGCCATCCTTCCATCCTATGACCGTCTCACCTGAAGCCTGGCGCCCTCAGGGCTCTCCTGGCAGCTGCAGCGAAAGACAAAGTCACACACAAAGGATGCTTCTCGCTTGATGCCTTGTTATTGGCTGTCCTGTTGTGTGTGTGTACTCGATGAGGTCTTCGTCTTCCAACATGTCCATCGCATGTCTCACGTAGTCGCCGGGCCGCCACAGAGAGCTGTAGTTGGGAATACCCAGCGCCTTGGCAAACGCCTCCCTGAACGCAAGAAGCACGAACAAACACACAGGACATCCCACCCTCCGCCTTCCTTTTCATGTGTGTGTGTGTACTGGACGGTCCAGTTGAAGATGAGCCCGTGTACAAGTCGGTGATTGCTGCACATGTCCTTCTCAGAGCTCTGCATCGCGAAGCGGAACGTCAAAGACCCATTCACATTCCGCTCATCTGCGAAGGGGAGAGACGCACACCACACGACGCCAGAGACGAGATGAGACGGGAGAAGAGTCCTACCTCTGGGGATGCATCTCTCATTGCCCTCCTCCCCGTCAGTCGCAGAAGGGTCGAAGTTGGGGCCAGCGGCGTCCGGACATCCCTACACATGCATACACGTGTCAATGCCTCGTGTCGGCTTTGCCATCTCCTTTCTCTTGACTCACCCCTTCATTGTCATTGACAGTCACTTGAGACACCATCCGAGCCTGACACACAGACGGACACAGAGAGAGGAAATGCGAAGCGTTGTGCACACGACAAAAGCGGGGTCGTGGGTGTGTGTGAGGGTTGGACTCCACCTTTTTGACGTCCTGCTGTGCAATGTCTGGGTTGCACGCGGTTGCATTCTTGTATATCTGTGTGGTGACGTTCTTCTTCTTGAGTCCCAGCAGGCCGTTCTGCACCTCCCGCTGCTGCTTCTTGGCCACGCGCACGGTGTAGTCGAGCATCACCATCTCCTGAGACTCGGCCTTGGCGTAGACCTGCCAGGAGGGCTCCGCTGCCCGCAGGAGCGCTGTGGCGTTCTGCACGGTGTCAGCTGAGCACCGCCATAGCTCACACACCCTGGACAGCCAAGCAGCAGAGAGAGAGAGAGAGAGAGGAGTGCATGTGCGTGTGAGGTTGTGTACCGTGCCCCAGGTTGGTTGTTGTAGCTGAAGGCGTTGCAGCCCACAGCAGCACACAGCTCGCCACACTCCTGTCGCCAATAAGTAGAGATAGACGAGTGGCTGGCTGGTCTCACAATTGATGAATCGATCTGACCCGTATGTTGTCGACAGGCTCGCGCCCTCTGTCCCAAGTGGTCGCACTCACCCCCTGCACCCATGACGATCTTCCTGCCCGTTGCCAGCTGTGTGTAGTCTGAATGAATCAGACACAGAGAGGGGGAAAACACCTCTGCTTGTCTGTGCGCATAGGTGTATGTGTGTGTGTCTGTGGTGATGGTTTCTGACTGTCAGCGAGAGCTTCGTCTTTCACTCCTGTCAGCTTGACGGCATCCATCGGCACCGCCAAGTGGTTGGCCACCGCAAAACGCAGCGCCTCTTCCTGCGGACACACAAGTGCAACAAGCAAGTCCATTTGCTTCTTCTGCGTGTGTGTCTGTGTGAGTGTCTGTGTTACGCAGTTGGATGACGCGAACATGCCGATCTTGATGGACCCCACCATCATGACGCTGAAACTGATGTCAACCTCACCCGCAACTGAAGTAAACATACAAACAACAACAGCGCACGCAGACCATTGATCCGATAAGAGGTCGTGGATGCCACGTCTACCTTCTCCAGCAACGGGCATCTGCACACAAGAAACTGACAGAACCCACATTGCCCGCCTGTGTGTGTGTGTGGTGTCTCTGCTACCTGTATGGGGAAGCTGAGTGTATCGGAGGTGGCTCCCTCGTTGCCCCTGGCGTAGCACGTGATGCGGTACTTGGCACCCACCAGCAGGCCCTCACCACCACGAGGCTTCCGCAAAGTGATCTGCGTAACACAGCACAGCGTAACCACACAAGTTGTCTGCTGGGGATGGGACGGATGAGGCTTACGGCTTTTGTCTCCCCTGGCAGGGCCATCACAGCCACCGTGTTGGGGTCAACCTGTAGGCAGGAAGGCAGCACACACAAGGCTGACGGCTCTGTTGGTGTCATCTGCATTGTCACGTCAATATCAGCTGTTGATGGGACGGCGTCGTCCTTGGTCGTTGCGAGACATTGCACCTGAGACACGACACCGAAGACGTGACGGTGCCTGTATACTTGCTTTATTTGTGTGTGTTCTCATTGACCCTTGCGGGACGATTGACTTTGACCTTGACCGTCACTATCTTCTTCAGACCCTCATCGTCCACTATCGGCTCCTCCGTCTTACGCGCACCACAGAGAAAGAAAAAAAGAGACAATCGTCTCCTCCGTCAATGTGCCAAGGCACGTACACTGATAAGTGTGATCTCGTTGGGTGCTGCCTCGACGTCTGCAGTGTTCTGCAGCACCAGCCCCGAAAGGTCATATGGGGAGGGCGTCGGGTCGCTGGTAAAGATCCCCGTTCCTGTCGCCCTGGCATTGCTGGCGTCCGCTGCTTTCTGCACGATGCTGCTGCTGCTGGTGGTGGATGCGTCGGTAGTGTTGAGTGTGCCCTTGGTGGTGAACTCCTCTCGTACGATGACGGCCGATTCATTCGGGTTGGCCAGGGGGGAGCCCAGGCACTCTAACCGATATCGGCTGGCGGGCTGCAGGTTCAGCAACGTGATCTGACGACAGACAGGCAGACAGACAGACAGGCACATTCACACCTGCAGCTTACAGAGACGTGTCTTGTATCGCTTACTGTGCCAGTGTTGTTCGGCGGCTGTTGGTTCTTCCCCAGCAGCCGGATCCCCACGGCAAACTCCCTCTTGAAGGTATCCGACATCAAATACTGCTCAGGGGGCGCCTCAAGAGACGCGTTCATCGCATAGCACCACAGCTGCACGTCATCGCTGGACTGCAAAGGCACCTCTACCTTCCTCAACCCAGGGATGACCGGCCCAGCCAGACCGGCTGCGAACGAGGTGCCGGGAGCTGCTGTGGGTACTGGTGGTGGCGTGGATGGAGTCATGTGGCTGGGCTATGTGGTGAAGGTCTCGTTGAGGATGGAGCCTCGCTGGGTGGAGTTGTCGAGGTTGACGGCGAAGCACCGCAGGAGGTACTCTGTCGCCGGCTCCAGATTGTGCACACTCACCTACACACACACACACACACAGAGAGAGAGAGAG